GAGAGATGAACCAAATCTTAGAACCTGCCTAATCTAAACCCTCATTTTTCAGAGAGGAAAACTGAGGCCCAGACAACTTGTTAACGACTTAAAGTCCCAAATTGAGGGACCTCACTGAAGTATTTACACCAAGGCAGATCCTATAGATCACAACAGCTCCCAATGGGCCATCCCTGCCACCTTTTCTCTGCTGTCTTTGACTTAACTCCAACTCTGGCTGGTGCTGCCTTTATATATTTTGTTCCTATTGGAGTTTTTTAATATCAATTTTGAATTTTAAAAGCAACCTCATTTATCCTGAGTACCAAGTTTTTTGACACCTCCCTTAACTTCTCCCAAGACAAGTGCCTCAATCCCCTCACCCTACCTAGTCAGTCAGCCCCGGACAGAAACCAGCAACAAGCCCAGGAAGGGGCTGGGTAGGTGCTGGTTTCATAGTAAGGATTCAGCCCTGCAGGTTGATAAAAATAAAAAAAAATAAATAAATAAAAAAAGAAAAAAGAAAAAAAAACCACAAAGCTAATCTTGCACCTCAGAATCTGGCTCTCAAAACACAGGGAGCTTTATCTCTTTTAACTTATGCTTATAATGGACAGGCCTGGCTAATGAAAATAAAGTTGGGGACCACTCCAATCCTGATGACAGCTACCCTCTTTGTATTACAAGATTAACATCTGGTGGGGCTGCACTCCAGCTAGTCATTTCCCATTCAAAGACACTGACTTAGAATAAAAAAAAATCTAAGTGAGAAAGTGTAGACAGAGAACGAAATTGGTTAAAATAGGGAGAAAGGTAAAACTTGCAGACAAATAGCAAGACACGTCACATCAATGGAATCAACCAACAGGTAAATCCCTAACCGTTCCACTTAAACACTTTTTTAAAACTACTTAAGAACAACTTATTTTTTAAGAGAGTCTTTAAAAGCACACATCAAAACTGTGAAAGCAGGTCTAATCCAATATTGGCATGGTCTGAGGGACCGTGCTTGCTGAAATGTTGCGTGGAGCTTGGAAATGTTAAGCTCTCATCTGGTTTTTCTTTTGCTCCTCTCGTTCCGCAGCCACTAAGCAGTGAGACAAAGTGACTGACCAAGCTCACAGAAACACTAGGCCTCGACCAGGAGTCCTGGCCATATTTCAAATTTCCTTTGATTCTTACAAGTTATTTTAACCTGCAGACAGTGTTGCTTGGTTGGTTTCAAGTGCAATCAGCATTGTTAATTTTCATAACTTTTAGGACAAGCGCCATGCCCCAAAGTGTCTTGTAAATTGTGAAGTTGGTCAGCACAACCAAGAGTGAGAAGAGGAGGAGACAGGCAGCTAGGAAGACCTGAGTCACTACACAGAGGCCCAAGGGTGTTTCCCACACTGGCCTCATCCTCAGGGAAGAAACACCGAATTGAGGACCAGGTGACACAAACTCAAGCATCAACAGGTGCTCGACCTTGACAAGGCTCAGACTCTGAACACTTGCTCACAGCTGCCAGAGCAAAGCACCTACCCCCAATCTACTTCACAGCATGAGGCAGCAAATCACTTTTGACAACTGGGAAGTGCTGTGTAAATTCCAGCCACTAATGACAACTCATGACATGGCTTCACCAGCCTGCTGAAAAGATACACAAGTAGAACAAATAAGGCTTACATATCAATTTACAGAACACATTGTTCCCAAAAAATATCAAATGAGGTAATACCATACCACATGACAGAGGGGAAAAAAGCCTTTAAATTTCACATGGCTAGCTGGGCCAGTGTGGCTCAATGGTTGAGCACTGGCCTCACAGTTTGATTCCTGTCAGGGGCACATGCCTGGGTTGTGGGCTGGATCCCCAGTGGGGAAGCGTGCAGGAGCAGCCAATCAGTAATTCTCTCATCACTGATGTTTCTATCTCCCTCTCCCTCTCCTATCCTCTCTGAAATCAATAAAAAATATATATTTAAAAAAAAAAATTTACACAGCTCAAAACACTGGGCAGAAACCTCAAAGTAACTAGACTCACAGTAACCTGCTGGTTTTTATTGTACCCTAACACTTTGGTGGTATGAGAATTGCTTTAATTTTTAATGAGAAGTCTCTACCTTTCTTGTAAAGAGATAGCTAGAGTTTAAAATCTACCTAGAGAGAAATGGACAGGCAGAGATCTATAACACCAGGAAAAGACTCAAAAGAAAAAACATTTGTCTAATGCTGTGATAAAAGATTTAAGTACCCATTACCACCACTAAGCCGTTGACTTCTCAGTAACCAGCCACAAATGGGAGCAGAGAAAGTAAGGGGAAGGCTTATCAGGAAGTGTTGACACAACATAAACATGGACTGTGGGCAGCAAACCAAGTAAGGAAACCACAATTATACCACTCTTGATTTGGACGCACTTCCACTTTTTTTTTTTTTTCCCCCAGACGGAAAAGTCTGGTGTGACTTGACAGTGAAATCTCTAAAGCTCACTCCTTCAACAAACCTGCTGAAAGGTGGGCAGGGAGAGCCACAGTCACACTGGAGATAAATCTTCACATTAAAGCTCTCTCCACGGAAAGTTTCCCCATTACTGCATTTTTTTTTTTTTTTCAGTAACAAAGATGTTGTCAGAAATGACAATTTTTTTTGTGTCCCCAGATGATGCCTTGCTAGCATTTGGTTATAAGCCATAAAGCAGGACTAATTTCAGCCTGTCAGGAGTCTCGCTAATGCCCAGTTTCCCCCTAGAGAGAATTCCTGTCAAATCTAATGAGAGCTCCAAAGGCTCTCTCTACAATATAATGAGCACTTAGGCCATGCTGGTGATCAGGCAGCAAAAAGCATCAATTTGAGCCTGGCTACACCCTGGGGGCCAGACGTCACCAGTTTTAATAAGAATTATGATTACTAGCTGCATCGAATGTCTCCTCAGAACTTATTATTAATGTGTGACATTCAGGAGGATGTTTTTCAAATGTAAGGCCACTTTAAACTGAATTATAGCACTGCTTTGCATACCACTCTGGTTAAGGGTCTGTCAGCATTTACAATATAAACTAAATTTCAGAAAGCTGGATTCCCTACTATCAAGAATATGGCATCTCTGAGTTTTTCATATTTTTCAAATAACTGAGCCAATTACATGCAGCATATTATTAATGCATAGTGGCTCCTAAGTGGACAAATGCCTCATGGAGCACAGGTTATTAGAAAACTATTTTCACACCATGGAGGTTCCTGACCCTCTTCTCCCCTTCTTCCTTTTTCCTATGTGATAAAGAAGAGGTCACTCTGCCACATAACCTGTAGGAACCCAGAAGAATTACACACCTCCTTAACTCCCCCCCAATAAATCCAGCACCAGCATACATCACACAAAAATGGCATTTCCTTGTAAAAGAGTCAGGGAGGTTATTAAATCCTTTGAATTTATGAGTTTAAGAAAAAAAATTTGATCTTCTCTTAATCTTCCAGAATACTTGTTGGGGGCGTGGGGGAGGGGGGTTTCAGAAGATGGGAATAGGAAGCTTTAGGGTTAACTTATTCTAAACAATGACAGGATAGAACTTCTTGACCAAGTTTATTTGCATAATTTATTTAAATGACCATAGATCTTTTAGTCCAATTATGATCAACAAGTTTCAAGTGTTCCAATCAGGCACTAGCCATTTAAACACACAAAAAGAAAGACACAAAAACAAAGGCACAAACCCAACATAAACTAAGCTACCATCTCTGTAAATCAGGATAAAATCAGCACTGTGAAAGGTCCAATGGCATTATTAATGAAAGGCCCTGAATCTCATATCTCTTTCCAAACACATATCTGAGAACAGATCCAATGTACAGGATGATAGCTTAACATTATGAAACCTATGATGAATTAAAAATCAAAAGAGTGCAGAGTTACAAAAGCAGAATTCAACTCCGAAACACACTTGCTTAATGAAAGTCTTTCAATATAAGGAAGATCTGAAGCCTGAACTAATCAATTTCTCCACTGTGCCCCAGCCGGTCAGCCATGCTCTTTAATTTAATGAAACAAGGGTTTGAGATGAAATAGCACATATACATCAAGTAAGAATTGTATTGTTGCACTTTGAAATGTGTCCAACTGTGCAACTTCATCTGATGATAATTTTTTAAGAGGCAATCGATTTCTAAAAGACTTATTGTACCAGCATCTTGATGAAAAAGTGAATGTCAGCATATCTCCAGAATACTTACGCCTTGCCATTAATGCTTTCTTTGGCAGACAATGACTACTCAATCGAGGGTCCTTTGGGCTGAGCAATCACTTAGCTTTTCTTCTCTTATGAGGTCCTTAGTGCCTTGTTCCAGCTCAATACTCTTTTTATACACCATTATAGTAACCATAAGTGTGAATTTTATGGGAACTTGCAAACTCATAGTCATAGCTAGAGCTTTCCAGTCACTAATCTTTTCATGCTTTTAAAACCACTAGGACTGAAGCAACTCCCAACATATGCTGTGGCCATAAAGGAATGCTTTTTTTTTTTTCACCTCCAAACCTGCCCCAACTGAGAAATATTTTCCAAAAAGATGTATGCAAATAAGCCACTAATTCTGAGTATCATTTTATGCAGCCCCAAAGCATAAAGAAAATTCCATAGTTAGTCTTATATCTTGTTTAATCTTAAAGATGGGAATATCTCACAGGTCCACACTTCTTTCCAAAACAGAACAAAAACATCAGCAACTTCGGCAACTCTACAGAATGCCAAAATCTTTCAGGGAGAATATATCTATCCAGGTAGAAAAGGAAACTCGGAATCTCAATTCCCATCTGCCTATATATACAAGCTGGTTTACATTTCCAAGAACCTCTCCCTCAGTCACTTAAAACTTGTCTAACTGTCAAGAAGCAACCCTTGCTACTGAATACTACCACCAGTTAGCAGGAAGGGAAACCAAGGCAGAAAAACGGCATACAACCACCCTACTAGAGGACACAGCCAGTATTAAAAAACCATGACTCATTTGTTGTTTTAGCTTGAGATTGAACTAAAGCTTACCTGTTTATGCATTTCTATGTTTAATCCATATGACATTTCATAATACTGTAAAAAAAAAAAAAAGAATCAAGCATTTCATTAACTCACATTTTATAATGCTAAAAACACATATTTGCTCATATTATATGAAGAGGAAAAAGTCTAATCTTGGATACCTACCATCACATAGTGCCTCTGCATTTCTGTCTTTTCACTTGCCAGTTTCTCACATTCCAATTTAAGGCTACGAAAACAAAACAGGCAACTTAATGTAAACATTATGTCACTTGTTTTAACATCTGCCTCTCATATTTGCACTTCCAAGTAAAAACACAGACCAATTGGGAAAAGCCATAAACTATCTAGGTAAACACCCAAAAACTTTGTCCCTTCGTTTAACAGAGAAAAGAAATTAAGTGAGCATTACAGGGCACCCACTCAGCAGCTGGTCAGAAGCACCAAGAAGAAAAAAAATCTGTCAAAACCTCTGAGCTACCCTTAAGACTGTTGTCTCCTGGTGGTCATCTGTTCGTTCCTACTTCCCTGTATCAAGGTTTGCTTCTCTGGAGGGACTCCAGGTCTTGGCTTAATCTTCAATCTCAGGCATAGGTTGTACTATCTTTGCCAACTCGGTCTCTACGTTGTAAAGTTAATTCTACAACTGTTGGTCCCTTTTAAAAACTTTGGTTTTTAAATCCCTGCCAAAATATGTCAAGCAGCTTGTGATAGTGGGTTGAAGTCCTTCTGATTGGTCAACACGGTGTGGGCAGGTATGCCTCAAGCTCTAGAGATTACTATCTTCAAGTAGATAAAAGATCAATAATCAGAAAGCCTCTTACAAAATAAGAAAATTCAGCCCTAGCTGGTTTGCTAAGTAGTTAGAGCACTGACCCTCAGACTGAAGGGTCTGGGGATTGATTCAGGGACAAGGGCACATACCTCTATTGCAGACTCAGTCCCCACCCAGGTCTAGGGCACATGCGGAGGCAACCAATCCATGTGTTTCTCTCACATGAATGTTTCTCTCTCTCTCCCCTTCCCTTCTTCCCTGTCTAAAAATTAATGGTAAAAAATATCCTCAGGTGAGGATTAACAACAAAAAAAGAAAATTCACACTAAAGCCAATGTATGCTTTTTCTCAATCATGACAAAAATTAAGTCAATTACAGCGCTATCTGGTTTGACTCAGTGATTAGAATGTCAACCTGCAAAGTGAAGAGTCCGGGCCTTGATTCAGGTCAAGGGCACACACCCGGGTTGTAGACTCAATCAGCCAGCAGGGGGTGCGCAGGAGGCAGTGCATCAATGATTCTGCCATCATTGAAGTTTCTCTCTCCCCCTCCCCCTTCCTTTCTGAAATCAATAAAAATGTTTTTAAAAATAAAATTGTCAATTGTCGTTATGTCTTAGCTCTGATCAGTTAAAACTTCATAGAAACGAGAAGAAATTTAACATTTTTTGAAAGTCCACTATGAATTGGTTGCTTTACAGTTTACACTTATAAATCTTTTGAGGTAGGTCTCACTAAATGAGACTAAAGCTGAGATGGATATAAATGTAACCCAACCCCCTTGTCCTACCCCAACCAACCCAGAATGACACCAAAGCTGGTGAATTTCCCTTACACACATCAACCCCTCCTCACCACCAAGACTAGACCAGGCTAAGAGCATCTAACTCTCCATAATGGACTTTGCCTCAGACCACCCAATCCTCTAGCATGGCAAACAAGTGATTTCAACACTGGTTTTGCCTCCCTCAACCCGCACTCCAGGGCTGGGCCATCGGCTGAACCAAGGTTTTAGCTCAGTCTGTTGCAAAATAAATAAATGTAGTGCAAATATTGATGGTTCTCATGCAACTCCTAAATACGCGAAAATAGACTCCCTGGAACAGCAGCACACGGGTAGAAGGGAAACAATGGAAGTAGGAGGAGAGCCCAGGACGAGCCAGGAAAGAGGGTAACCTGAGTGACAGATCTTAACTGCGACTCCACACGCCACCGCCTGGACGCCTGGATTAAGTACAGCCGTCGCCACCCCCTCCACCCGGCCGGGCGACCAGGAGCACCGGGCTGTCCAGCCCGGCCGGACACGCACCTGTGATACTGCGCCTGCAGGAACTGGAATTCCTCCTTAATGCGGTCCAGGGACTCTGGAATAGTGAACTTGAAGGGCTGGCCTGCAGCCTGGTGCGGCGTCTGGGGCGACCCAGGGTCGGGGATGTGGGCGGATGGATAAAGCAGTAAGTCAAAGGAGAGGAAAGTGGGTGGATACAAACAAACAAACAAACAAACAAAAATTAAGTTAGAAGTGGTAGAAGACGGGAGTCTTGAATTCGAGTGTGCGCTTTCCTTTGGGGAGGAAGAAAACGAATCCTCCCTCCTCCAACCCAGAGCTTCTGGAGAGGCTCCGAGCCTCTTCCAACCTCCAGGGCGGGGCGGGTCACCCGGCTGGACGGAAAGGGGTTCCCCAGCCGCCTCAGAGAACCAGGCCAGAGAGTGGAGACCGCCGCCCCCTCCCCGACGGGGGCGGAAAAATGGCCCAGGGGGACTGGAGGAGAAAAACAACTCCCGATCGCTCCCGGTTCCCAGAGCCGCCCGGGCCACCTCCGGGCGCGCCAGAACTGGGGCCTCATTGATATGCAAATAGGCGAGACCAGAAACAAAGGGGGGCGCCCTACCGCCCCGGGGAAGGGGGGGGGGAGGATGTGGCTGCGGGAGCCAAACCCCAGCCGGCATCTCCGGGCGCCCCCGCCCTCCCTGTCTAGACGTCAAGTAGGAGTGGGCCCGAAGGAATTGGGGGAAAGTGGATGGAGTTTCAGCCCATAACGCACTCCTGGAGAGGCCAGAAGCCGGGACCTCCCAGCCTTGCAACTTCCAGAGCCCGGAGGTTCCGCCAACATGGAGCAGCAATCACCCACCTCCCCACGGCGGCTCGGAAGAGCACCCCCCACCCCCCACCACAGCCCTGTTCCCCACCCCCCACCCCCCACCCCCAGCCAGCCGCGCCTCACCGGGTGCCGGCTCTGCGGGAACATCGCTCTGGCGGTGGCCGCGGCTCTGTTCCCGGGCAATTCAATCCTCCGCTCAATTTCCAACTTTAATCCGGCCGCCGAGGAAGCTTCAGGCAGGAGCGGGACCCCGCGCCCCGGGCCCGCCGGCCACGCACGCGGGCGCGCTCCGAGGGGCGCACCGGCCACTCGGCGCCCCGCGACCCCTGCTCCCGCCGCCGGCGCGGGCTCCCGCGTTCAGGGCCACATCATCGCGGGGGGGCACCCGGGCCCGGCAGCACCCAGAACCTCCGCGGCGACGCACTGTTTTCCAACCCCGTGGGCCTCGATCGCCCGGGCGGGGAGGCGGGGGCGCGGCGGCTCCGGCCCGCTCCCGCAGGCTATCCGCGTGCGCGGCGAACGTCCCGGACACACAGATCCAGGCGGGTGGCTTCCCTCCGCTGGGCTCCCGGCTCGTCTCCTCTCCGGGGTCTCCCCGTGGCGCCGACGGCGGGCGAGGTGCAGGTGGTACGGTGTCCCCGGCTCAACCCACGCAAACAAACCAACCAGGTGGCGTTCGGAGCCGACTCCCCACCGCGGGTCCAAGGCGGCGCCTTCGGGCGGGCGGGCGGGCGGGCGAGCGATCGCAGGCCCCCGGGAGACCGAGGGGAGCGAGGCAGGGGCCGAGGCGGAGCCTCAGTCCCGGCAGCGGAGCGCCGAGGCGGGGAAAGTGCGGGGGACGCGCCGGGAGGCTGCTCGGCACACCCCGTGCGGCCGGCACCCGGTGTTCCCTCCGGCGGCACGAACACACGCTCCGGGCCCGGTGGGGGCTACTCCGCGGAAGGCAGTCCCCCGGCCGCCCGCCGCTCCTGGGGGCCGGGGCGCATCCGGACGCGGCGCCCGATGAGCGCTCTCCCCGCACGGCCGGCCCGGCCGCTCCGGACCTTTCCTCCTCCGAGCCCCTTCCTCGGTCTTCTCTCCTTCCCTTCGTCTGCCTCCGCGTACAAGGCGCTCCAGCCCGCGGCAAAGTTCTCTTAGGACCCGGGGTACGCCATCTACGAGGAGACGGTGGCGAGGAGGAGAGCGGGAGTGAGCGCTGCGGCTCGGCCTCCCTCCCGGCCGGCAAACTCCGGAGTAGTGGCGACCGGGGCAGCGCGCGGGGGTCAAGTCCCCGCCGGCCGGTGAGGTCCGGGCTGGTGGCGCGGGGCCCGCCTGGCCTGGAGTCAGTGTGTGAGGGTTAGGGGTGGGGGTGGGGGTGGGGGGACGAAGAGGGGGTGCAGCCGGCTGCCTCGGGGACGCGGGGCACAAGGAACCCGCCGACACCGCCGCTGCTGCTGCTGCTCCTGCAGCCGCCGCTCCAGCCGCCGCCGCCGCCGCCGCCGCCGCCTCCCGCCTATCTCGCGCCGGTTACATTAACACGCGGTTTCACACTCCGGAGCTAACCAGCGCGAACCCCGCCCAGCCCCACGCGGGCCCCGCCCAGCTCCGCGCAGGCGGGGGACGCGAGCGCCGAGCGGGCTGGCGACGGAGGCCGGGGCGGTTGGGAGGGAGGGGGCGGGGTCAGCCAGCGTCAGCCAATCGCGTGCGTCGTGCCCAACGTGGGGCGCAGACGTCATCCCTTTCAGGAGCCAATGGAGGCGCAGCCCTGGACTGGCCGCCCCGCTCCCACTCCCCCTCCTCTTCCATCCCACTGGCTTCCATCTCCGCCGTCTCCCTCCCACCCCCCGTCTCCCGCCCACCCCGCCTCAGCCAGCCGCGTCCCGCGGAGCCGGGTGAGGAGCTGTTCCTGGAGGAGCCGCGGGACGCGGGGCCAGCCAATGGGAAGCGGCGGGACGCGGAGATTGGCGTCGCGGATGGGAAGGTCGGTGGGAAGGAGAGCCGCGGAGCCGGGCTGTCAATCAAAGTAACGTGGGGCCGGCGAGGGAGCGCGCTGGGCGCGCGCGGGCAGGAGGGACCTGCGAGCGAGTCTCCGCGGAAGCTGGGGGCCCGAGCTTGCAAAAATCCTGCCTCTTGTTCACTTTTCCCACCCCCGGAATGAAAATCCTGAGGTTGGATGAAAGTAACTCAGAGGCTATCCGCGTAGTTTATTGGAGGGGGATTAGGGGAAGAGGAAGGTAGGCTTTTTTGTAGTTGGAGCCAAATGCATCTTTTGGGGTGCTGGCCTCTTGTTTGACACTATTTTGAGAGTGAGGTCACATTTTAAAGAATATATATTTATTGATTTCAGAGAGAATGGGAGAGCGAGAGAGAGCGAGAGAGAGAGAGAGAGAGAGAGAGAGAGAGAGAGAGAAACATCAATGATGACAGAGAATCATTAATTAGCTGCCTCCTGCACGCCCCCTAATGGAGATACAGCCTGCAACCGGGCATGTGCCCTTGACAGTCCAGGGGCTCACATTCTATCCACTGAGTCAAACCTGCTAGGGCGCGAGGTCACATTTCAAAATTTATCTGAGGTTTGTTTTTCCTTGAGTTGCCTTTTCGCTATTGCACAAGGAGTGGCCTGTGCACTTCGTGGAAAATGCATAAATGGGCAAAGCATTGGTTGTCGCATAAGACTAGGCTTTTCATGCCCACACCCCCTTTTGCACTCAGCATCACAGGATTTGGTTTTTATCTGGCGATTTCAAACCATTTTGCAATATAGTCAGTCTGCCTTCGTTTGGCAGCAAGTATACCCAAGGTGCTGCCAGGGTAAGGCATGGGAGTCCTGGACGCAAATGCAATGCTTTGCCCTGCGGCTGGAAATTTAGGGTCCCTGTCTTAAAGGTCCCGACTTTATCACGGTGTTGGGGGATAAGTGGCTGCTGAGAGTTTTAGGGGCCTCAGCAACCCGATCCTGAGTCTGTCTGCAATTCCTGGAAACAAAGGGAGACAATAGGATAAGCATGCATTGAGACCTGAAAAACCAGCCTTGCCCACCTCCCACCCATACCCAGGGCTGAGTCCTAAAGGAGCTAAATGGGAAGTGTTGGTGTAAATGCCTTGACTAAAATTACTATGAAGTGGAAATTGACTTAAAAAGGATTTTGAAGTTTTCAATAAAAGGACATTCTGTGTAAGTTTCCAGTTTTTATCTGTTTCCCAGATATCCCACACAGCCGAAAACCTTCAGTGTGGCTGCATTTATTTTTTTGTTTGAAGAACAGTTCAGTGGAGCTATTTCCAATGATTAGTGAGTGAATAATGCTGTTTTAGCCTAATGGTGGTGAATTGTTCCTTGAGAAAGACAGATCTTTGACAAGCATTCATCTTATGTTGGATTGTACTTACCAAGTTTTTTAGTGCTAATAGCCAGCACCGTGGTCCTATTATTTTATTTTCAAGAGACTTATGGAAAGACATTTATTGAAACAAGTACCATTTGCAGAGATCTTTTTCTTGAAAGAATTAAAAGCATCCTTGTAGATAATACATTTCACTGTTCGAGTTGTTTTTAAATATGTATGCTATTGATTTGTCTATAATTGCATCAATCCCAAATATCAATTATAAGTTAAAAAATAAATAAATAAAAGTGATTTTTACCCAGCCTTTACAAGACCATGGTAAGTTCTTAAACAAGTTTGGCTTTGTGGCTTTCAGTGTTCTTATTAAGGAGGTTTAGAAAGGGGGTCATATCATTCATTTTGCTAAAATAGAGAATGGGAAGGAAGGGAACACTGCCCCTCTTTTCTTGGTTAAATTTAGTGATGACCAGAACAGGCTTGCTCTACACACAGGACTTCTTAAAGTTGTACGATCCATGAGCAACTAAGTTTGTCCTTTGGCAACCTCTCTGCCTTGAAATCTTCATCTAATGATTGGGACACATCAGCTCCAGGACATTGTAAAAAGTCCTTACCTATCACAAATATGCCTGTGTGTTTTTGGCTGGAACAACTGGGGCCACTGAGACGTCTCCCTGGCTTACCCAAGTTTTACTTTGATTTCCTGGCACAGGCTGATATGATTAAGTTTAACAGGAATGAAAATGTTGCTATGTCTCTTCTACTCTCACCTTTCCATCCCCTTCACAATCATTTCTAACACGGTGCCTTTAAATGTTCTCCAATATAGCTAATCAAAGCAAGCATGTCTACTCACTGTATTTCCCAGTTTGCCATGGGTCACAATTTGAAAGTCTCTTTTAACCAATGCTTCGTTACCAGTAGAGTATGAAACACCGGGCCATCTGATTCCCTTATTCTGTAATAACTGGAAAAAAGAAAGAGTAATGATTTTTAAATTGGAAGGCCATTAATTGTGTGCATAAAGATGGTGTGTTTTCGATGGATTCTTTTAGGGCAGCGTATTCTCCTTGAGGGAAGGGTCCCTTTTCAAGGTCATATTTTTCTTTGTGATTGTTATGATGTAATGATTACACTGTAAAACTCTCACCAAACTGCATTACAAGTGATGGTGTTTAAATAATCAAGTAGCTTTAATCTTACGATTTAAATAAATAATATATGTGCAGATTGCCTACAGCCTGTTTAAAACAAAATGTTCCCACTCATGAAATCTATAATTTTGATCTTCTATTTAAAGTCTGTTAAACATAATCTTCTTTACCTTTAACATATTCATGAGTTGATGATGGTTTTACATGAAATAATATTAAACATTCCGATTCCATCGGGAAAAAAAAATGTCTCTGAAAAAAGTTGTCTTTTTTTTGTTCCTGAAAAAGAAACAACAAGATCATCAGATTGTTTATTTTATCTCCATATATGTATATATTTATATTCATTTGTTGCTGATTATCAAATGCTTGACTCAGCAATGGTGTAATTACAAAAACTAGATGCTACACATAGTAGCAATAGGAAAAATTATGGCTGCTGGTTATAGAAATGATGCATCTTCTTTTAAATTTATTATGTTTTTATTTGAAATAAAGAATAATTATATCAAATTTTAAAGGATGTTTTGACATTTTCTCTATTCTCCATCTTTTAACTGTGAGTTATTGTGTATACATTTCCTCATTTGACTTTTTTTTTTTTTAAGCTGGTAGTTTCTTAAACCTAAGAATGTAGGGTACAGAAATGTTTTTTCCCCTAGAA